ATAAGTATCCTTATTTATAGCTGCCATCTTAAATTGTTTCCTTTCGCTTTAAGGAAAGAAGTGTGTGCATTTAATTTATGAACGATCCTTTATTAAAATTTCGTCTTCCACAAATATTTGCATAAGAGCTTTTTAAAAATAAAAAATACTGTTTTCTCTCGAATACTTCCAAAGGGCAAAATTCGAATTGCGAAATGCTTTGGCTGTAATATTTCGCCCCTCGTCGCTGCTGTTAGGCGTTGCTGTAAATTTGTACCACACCTTCGTCTATGGCACTTCTAAATTAAATAGCCTAAAAGCACACAATAACACTTGAGATTCTTTTTTCTACCGAAAGAAACCGAAAAGAAAAATCGCTGGAACAATGCTTATGCTTATGCATACAATACACGCATAATTATTTATGTACATGCAAAGCCAAGCACACACACACAATAGACGCAATATTTTGCCCTCAGTCAGTAGCATGCATAGTAATGTCTACTTAACGCCCTGCACCTGTTGTTTTGTTTATTATTGTTATTCGCAGCGCTGCTATTGTTGTGCTGCTTCTTCGCGTCGAGTTATGCTGCTACGGCTGCAAACGTATTGTTGTGTTGGAACTGCGGTGCCATTGTTAGAATATGAGTGTTTTATTGTTTTGTGTGACACAAAGTCATACTTGAAATTTATTACACTCACACATAAACAAGTTAGGGTCTTGAAGATGTTACGCTTTTGTGTGAGCAGACATACATACTAACGCAAGTGTACATAAGTTATTGTTTTCATTTCTTCCTGCGCTGTTTGTATGCTATTGTGCAAAATGCTTAAAAATAAAACAACACAACAACACACGCACACATGTTTACTTATAAATACAAATGCAAATAAAAATAAAATACAATACAATATCATGTATGGAAATAATGTAATAAATACAATAACTTTTCAAAAGCATAACAAACCGTGTTTTTGTTGTTTTGCTGTTGCTGTTGTTGCTGTTGTTTCATTCTCTTGTTATTCTTGCTACTTTTTATTATTATTATTATTATGTTTATTATTATTATTAATATTATGATATTGAAATGCTTATGTTTTCCTTACAACTTTTGTTTGTTAATATTGTTGTTACATGCCAATGTTGTTGTTGCTGCAGTAATATATGATGAGTATGTATAAAAATAATAACAATGACGATGAAAGTAAAATAGAAAAAAAAAATAAAATAAATTAACGCCAGTTTAATAATAACACTTGCAGTCAGAAACACATTCAAGCAAAACAAGAAATTATAACATATTTTGTTAAAATAAAAATAACAATATATGAATATATAGCACACATCTATATATGTTACATGCATAACAAAAATAAGCATAAAACAAAAACAAAAAATTATAAGTACGTCAACGTCAGCTGCAACGTCAACAGTTACGTCAAGATCAATACGACAGCTCAATACAAAAAACAAAGAAAAAAATTACATGGCACACAATACATACTCAATACCAAACTCAACTTATACAAACAACCACATATTCAAGCAAAATCTATACACACACACACTCCCGTACAAATACTGGAATTTGTAGGAAATATGCAGAAACACGTGTGCGTGCTTAGTTTAGCTTGAGCCAAGCAGTGTGTGTGTGTGTGTGTGTATGCGAGTATGTTACGGTCTATTAACTGCTCAAGTATTTGTTGACGACGTTAAAAGGATATTTAAGGTGAACATAGAGGGGAATACTACGTATCGAAAATGAGACCAATTTTTGGTATCAGTTAAACTTCCATTAACTTTAAGTGGTACATAAAAATCGTGAGTTTATCGCATTTAATAAAGTTATATAGGAAATCACATGTGCGCAGCCCACACTGAGGAGAGGGACATCATAGCGTATACGTGCTTTTATTTGACCATTTTGATATTTATTGAATTGTTTGCCATTTACCAAAGTTAACGATAATCAAATCATTTTCAGTTTCATTGACAATTGCTAATAGTTGGTAGTTTGCATTAGCGAAACATTTCACTTTTTATATGAACATAATGGAAAATAAATAAATAATATAAAAAGCACACTTCTTGCGACACTGTGTAGAAAAAATACAATAAGAGAAAGTTTATAGAAATAGATTGTAGATTATTCTGTTAAATTTAATGTTCAGAAAGTAATGTTAAGAACAGTTTACGTTAAATAAGCTATGTAAGGAAACTTATGTTAAGAAGGTTAGTTAAGAAAGTTATATTAAGAAAAGGCACAGTATTATTTCTTTAAGTAAATTTACTTACATTAACAACTCGTATTTGTAAATAGTCTTTAATTTTCTATGGAGCAAAAAAAAAATTTCTTTATATATGTAACCACGACAGCAGTACTCTTTTTAAACTGCATTGAATTTTCACATATAATATATTTTATTTATTGGTTTCTTATTATAAAAAACTATCAGTTACAATATGTAAATGTATATGTATATAGAGATAATAAACATTTTTTTATTTAAAAACAAACCATTTTATTATAATTACATTTTCATTTTCAGATTTCTAATACATAGACTGAAATAGTAATTCTGGCTACAAAGGAATGGATTAGTTTACATAAAACAAAACCAAAATATATGCATATATACAGACAACATTTTCATTAAACGTGTTTCGAGCAGAAGAGCCGCACGCATGTGTCAAAAAAGTTTTCTGACAAATCCCCCAACAATAAAACCTAAGCCCAGCAATCTTTCTTTGTACTAAAAAACAAAAAAAAATCCATATACGAATCACAACACAAATAACTATGAATTTTCATCACACCACCAATGTCGATGATGGATGTTACAATTCAAAATCATCAATAAAGGCAACGTTCCCAAACGCAACGTCGGCAACGCTGACAACGCCTGCAACAGTGCATAGAAATGCAACTGAAAAATGCAACAAATTACATGCAGCAGCCACAACATCAATAAAATTTAACGAAAATAAATATTTGAAGTTGCAACAAAAGTGGCGGCAACGCCCGCGGGGGGACACAAATATCAAAAATTATTTCAAAACGAATTATTTATGTACATATTTATTTGTTGTTGTAGTGTTTCTAAGCGGTTGCCACATAACGCCAATACATTGTGCGCAAAACTCTGCTGCGGCAAGCGCACAACACAATGGCCTCAACGACAACAGCGAACAACAGACACTAAAGCAGCAAACTTCATTTAGTCAAACTGTAAATAGTACAAGTAATAACATTAATAATAATAACAGCAGCAACAACAACGAAAATGTTATAAAATCCACTGCAAACATAAATAAAGCAGTAACAGCAGCAGCAGCAGCAGCAGCACCAGCATCAGCAGAGGCTGAAGCAGTTGGTGCAGTTGAAAATATTTTTAATGATTACACTGAAGCCTTTGCTACGCTCATTGCAGAAGGCCATCTCAATAAAACCACCAATAAACAGAGTAGAAACAAAAACAATGCAAGCAAAAACGCCAACGGTGGCAGCAGCAGTAGCAGCAGCGCTGACAGCAACAGCTCTAGCAAAAGTAGTAGTTATGAAAGTCGTAGTAATAATTTAACATATAGTAAATCAAGCGATAGCAGCACTGATAGTAATAGTAATTTTAATCTGCACGATGAGCTGTTGGACAGCTTTCGTGGCACGCACGGCATGCCGCAGCAACCGATGTATACGAATGAATTTGCTGTGCATATACCAGCAGGCAACAGAATGGCCGATATAATTGCGGAAAAATATGGATTCACAAATGTGGGTCAGGTGAGTAAGCAAATAGTTAAATGCACTTTAAAAATTTTTTCACATTTCAGATTTCAATATTTGCAATATTATTAACACTACAATTATAATATATGCAAAAATAAAAATGATATAAAGTGATGTAAAAAGTCATAGTTGTATTATGACTAATTATCTTTATGAAAAATATAACCTGATATGTCACACATAAAAGATATGTTCGTTCGACATAATTGGATAAGTGTCGCCAATTAGATAAATGTATACCACCAACAACTAGTGATAAAAATCGACTGATACTTTTTAAAACCTTCGATTTTAACTGCGGTGTCGGTCATCATCATTAGCATTCTACAAAAGTCTTTACTAAAATTCTCTACATTCGCACTAATAATGACAAATAGTGTTGAATATGCCAAATATCTTCTTTTCGCAGCATTTCTTGAGACAAACAGGTATTAAGCGCTGAATTTGGAAAATACAGCGCATTGTTTCTGTGAAAGATAACTTTTTTCTTATTCATGTTGGTCCATTACCTCGTTACTTGATGATCTGAACTTTCCCAAGGTAAACGATGAAAACGATTTCACCCGCATTCCAAAATACAGGGACTGTTTGTTGTGTTTTCGGCCGCCTTGAGTGAGGCTCACCGACAGTTGTTCATTCAGTTAACTGCTGTTTCGAATCTAGAATAAAATAATGGATCCAAGTTTATATTTTTACATATTCCTAATTATCTCGCTACAATAGTCATGAATAGACGCCAGAATCATCGACACTATGCAGTTTTCTGTCAACTTTCACTTCGAAGAGTGACAAGAGTTTTTGCAAAATGAAGTCAACATGTTTCATTGAAATTTTTATAGTGACCAGCTATCTAACTATCTCATTAACTATCGTTCACATTATAGTTTGCTAAAACAATTTTGTTGATCTTTTTGATGTTTTCTGGTGTCACTACCTCTTTTGAACGTCCAACATCCGGCATCATAAGTGTTGGTACGAGAGCATTTTGGGTAAGCAAACCACTTCTTTACCATTTATCGCGATAGAGCAGAATTCGGGTAGCCTTTATAAAGCCAAGCTTTTGCTTCCGCAGCAAAGTATCATGAAGTAAAGACTCATCAAACCGACGAAAATTCTCTAAATCCATTTTTCTGAAAATATAAAAAGTGTGGTTATTAAAAAAGCTGTAATTAATTGAGTTATAGTACAGTTTTATTAGTCAAAGTGTTAATAGAAACACAATATTTGCGTAATAAGTCCAGATGCCACAACTGTTTTTAAATATAGTCTTCTTTACATATATATTCGATATAAATTTGATTTACAATTCTACTATTTGTTCAATTGTGATAATGTGGGCCCCCATAAAGACTCCTATAAGATTATCTTGAACTAAAATCAACTCAAATAAGCTTCTCAGCGATTTGATCGAGAATAATTATTGATTGATTGTACGAACAGAACTTCAATAATAATTTTTTGGAGGACTGTCCATCATTTGAATTATTGAATTTTTTCTTTTCAAAGCTTTAAGAAACTTAAAAAATATGTGATTGTTCCTTCTTTATTGAAGTAATTTTTCAGTTGTAATAATCGGAATCATTGCAATTCATATTTCACCAATTCCTTGGTATTGTATTCCGAACATCAATGATAGAATTTAATCGCATATTTCTTCCTGATTCCCCATATTGCGTACTATATCTTACAGTACCCAGTAAATGTAGTTTTTCCATAATGCACGTTAGTGTTTCCTAAATTTGTGCTACATATACATAAAGATTTAAAATATTACCGTAAGAATCGTAGTGCATGTTGACACAAATTTACCATATAGTTCTTCCTAAACTACGAAATTTGGTTGTTACACGGTGTGTCTTTCAACTTGTTATTATCCACTTATATACATCTAGTCTATTCCTTCGCCTCTATTTGAGTATTTGAATTTGATCCAGCGGTGTAAATAATTCGACCTAATCAAGATTTCATGTTACATCTTCCTTTTTGAGGACGTGAAGCAAATTTCAATCTTTGGCACTTATTTACGGAATCTGATTAAACGCTAATTACAATCATTCAACGCAAACAAATGGTAAAACATTAAATAACTCTAGCGCCCGGTCAAGGCCTCTGACCACGTTTATTCAAAGTTTATTAACTAATTTTTAATTAGGCGTAACAAAATAGAAAGCTCACAGTGTACAGAACGTTTAGCTTATATGAATAATAAAATGCATTTCGGTTTATATCGCCAGCGTGACCTTATCCGCATACAAAACAATAAACGAATATACAAATAAGTTTTCTATGAAACAATTATCGGTGGAAGCAGAGCAACATCCACCGAACACATCAGGAACAGCACTAACAGCAGCAACAGCACCAGTAGTAGCCATTTAAGTGGTTCCTATGCTTATTTCCATAAATGCTATTATAAATGTAATAGGAATTTGTTTTGCAACGCAACGCACCGCTCCCGCGCCGTTCATTCCCAGACCGCAAAATACAGCATCAAAGTCATTTGTGCCTCTGCTCCATTGCGGCACTATTATTATGCTAACAACAGTTTTGCTGATATCAACACCACAGCCAACACCTTCGCTGATATCGGCAACGGCACAGCAGAGAATATTAAATATTGTTCATTGATTCATTGATTCACTGAACATATTAATTTTATTACCCTTCGAAAATGACCGGAAACGGATGAAAAAACGTAGCCCGAAATTAGTTGAGTTTATTTTCACAGCAGTTGTTGTTATTGCTTTTATAGTAGAAGTTGTAGTTTTTGTTGTTGTTGTTGTTGTTGTTGGTAGCATTTTGTTATGGTGGGATCGGCATTGCGGCAAATGAAGCACGCGCAAAACGCTTAAGTAAATGCTTAAATAAAACGTTATATTGAAATATTTATGAGGCCATTTTTACTTTTCTTTATGGCCGCAGCCGCCACTTTAATAGGGGAATGTGTGCCGTTTAATTATACAAATTGCATTTTTATAGGCCTATTTTTTCACTTGCTCATCCCGTTTTCATGGGAAATTGGTTTGTTGATAAGCGAAATGACAAGGAACGCAAAATGGAAAATTATTTTCAAAAATATTTTTTCCCAAAAATATATTTGATTTATATATCTGCTTCTGCTGCATTCAAGCATTAATTTTTTTTTGTTTTTTTTTTGGTCTCTTAATGGTTTTGTGAATTATTTATTTAATGAGAAATCCGATGAAAAGTTGTATTAATTATGTTTTACTTTAAACGAAAAAATAATAAAATCTTAAATGAAAAGATAATTAAAAGCATATTATGTGCGTGAAGTGTGTGGAAAGTTCGATTTATAAATTAAGACAGTACAGTTATATTTTAACGAAAACATTGTATAAAGAATTATATTCTGATATATTAAATATCAATATCATGATAATATATTTTGTATAATAATTTAAGAAACTTTGTTTATTATTCCTAAAAGAAGATACAGTACAGACACTCAGTCGAAATTAGTTAAACCGAATACCTCATTAATATGCATATTCAGTACAACAACCATTTCGTTTTTTATTTTATGACGTCAACACTGTATTAACTACTTCACAATTGTGACAGAGTGACGGCCTTGCTGACCAAAGTCTACTTGAGCACAAACAATGCCCTGTTATCATATCACGAACAAATTCATTCATTCGATTCATACTTCGTATCTGAAGAACCATTTAAAAAGTTTTAAAAACTGAAGTAGTCAAACAATCTATTGATAATATTGAAGAAGGTACAATTCTCGTATTCAAGTAAAATTTAAGCCAGTCTGCATGGTCTGTAAAATTAGCAATGACTTTCATTTTAAAGTATGGCATCTGTATTAGGTTGGTAAGAAAAAGAGCACTAAAAGAATCTTAAAAAAGAAAAAGAATCTTAATATATTCTTAATGACCAAAGATGGACTCTCACAGTTATATTGAAAAACAGTGTTTATTTCCTCTGTATATCGACAACCACAGCAAAAATTAATCTAAATTTATTTGCAATTCTACGTTACGCAGAGGGACGTGTCAGTACTGATACAATGAATAGGATCAGCTTCTGTGAAGCAGCTATTGTGATCCGAAAACATTATTTATCTATCAACATAGTTCAACCACTGCCAAGATATTTAGATTTTATAGCCTGCTTAACTGTCACAAACATTAACATCCAACATATTTTGCACACAACCCTGATTAAAAAGTTTTACAAATTACCGCCAGGTGACGTTTTCTCGAATTATTACTAGATGACATTCTAATACAAAGAATGACATATTTGTCATAGGTGTGTTACAGTTACTAAGTAGTACTTTGATCATTTCGATGAGCAAGACTAAACTTTTATATGAAAACTGAATCACTCCTGATTCAATGATTATGAGTTTAGTTAATAGAATTTTTTGCCATATTGAAAAAATCAAAAAACTTGGAAGTATTGACCATCTTTATATAGAAAAAGACGAGACTAGTTCGTTTAAAACATGCACTTGTTATTTGCTTCTAACGTGAAAGGTTGAAAGGTCTAAACCTGTTATTTGCAGTCCATTATTTTTATATACGGATCGTTCTTTTAGAAGCGGTACGGCTTATAATCTCATCACCACAGATTTTAATAAAAATTTTTTAAGAGCTCCTTTTTTAAAACAAAAATACCTTTATCTAGGAAAGATATTCTTTTTTTTCACACCATTTTTTAAGTAACCTTAAATGCTTTGCGTTGTAAGGATAATTAAATGAATATTCAAAAATTAGGTTAGACAATTGAAATAATTCCAGTCACATTCTCTGTGACTGTCCAGTCTTGATTTGGGCCAGGAGGAGGTCACTTGGAGGAGAGCTACTCTCCCCTTCTAATATTAGGAGGTCCTCAATGGCATTCATTCGGAAGGCGGAATATCTTCTGTTCGGTTAGGGACTTCTGCAGCACAAAAGATCAATCTGGTCGCAGTGCTCCGCTCCGTTGGGAGGTAGCACCCCGTTCATTTCTATTCTATT